ATACACACTACCGCCATCGCGGGAAATACTCGTCCTCCTCCCTCTCCACTCACTATACCTTCCTACCTACATACCTACATACGTAGATATCGGACCACGAGGTGGCCTCCCGAGTTCAGCTTTGCTCCTCCCCTCCTCCATAACTCCCCCCCTTTCAAACCCCCGGGCCTTTCCGGGGCCACCCTCCGATAGCTCTTCCCTTGACTTAGGGTTTCCACGTATAAACCCTACCACCACCACCACCGCGACCACCACCACCACCACCGCCCCTTCTCGTCCGGCCTCTCCTTGCGCTCTCCTGGATTACCCCCGAGGCAGGTATTGGACGGGGTCGCAGTGACCGCCACAGAGCAGGCAGCCGCCAAGAACAAGTACGCGGGGCGGTTGACAGCGGACTTCCTGGAGGAGCGGCTGGGTCACCGACTGTTCGACCGCATTCGGGACCTGGACTGCAGCGGACTTCGTATTCGGGATGTGGGGGTGGTGTTCCTAATGGAGGATCTGGAGGGGCTGCAGGTGGGGGGGAGATTAGGGGGGGCGATAGTGGGGTGTGGGCGGGGTGGTGGGGCGGAGGGAAGGGGGGAGGGAGGGGGAGGAGGAGGCGGAGGAGGAGGTGTGTTGGGATGGTCCTGATCGGGCTGTACGGCGACTGCTCTGCGCGATTGGTGTAAGTCGAGGTTGCGGTCGAGAATGGTAACACTTTCTTCTCTTCTTCTCCTCAACGGACGTGTGGGAATGCCTCCGCATGCAACCCATGGGCATCTGGCTTTCCATGTGTGCGTGTGTATGTGTGTGTGTGCGCGTGTCGCTGTGTGTCTGTGTGTCTTCGGGAAGGAACCCCGCGATCAGAAAGTGGTGAGAATGTTTTGTGTGCATGTATGTATGTATATGCGTGATGCAAGGGGGGTGAAGGGAACAGGTCTTCACGGCCGTGATGGGGGTGAGAACGGGCCTCGGCTCCGGGTGCAAGACCGGTCCACTGCACCTCCGACCACTACCTCCTAACCATCGCCGTAACCCCAACCCAACCCATCACGCCACTCACTTTCTTACCCCCACATCCCCCAACCTTCCACCTCCCATATCCCCGACCCACACCCACAAACCCACGCCGTTTTTTTTCCAGGAACTCAATTTGGACAACAACCTGCTCAGTGACGTGTCAGGTGCGACTGCTGCTGCCGTTGTAGCCACCACCACCATCCCCATCACCAACAATATGACGATGACCGCCATCACTCATCACCATCACCCGTATCACCAACGTTACCAATATCGCTACCAATACCGCTACAGAAGCAATGTCACCGACTTGGCTCGTTGCGGCGCCCGAGGGAACCGTCGTAGTCTTCCAGCATCCCCTCTCCACCTCCCTTCCCCCCCAGTCTCGAGTGTTTCCAGACCCGGGAGTTACGGTCCAACCAAATGCCGCTGGTGCGCTCCGAGTCCGCCCCCTTCGCCTTGATGACAACTCCCTGTTCCCTCCCTCTCCTGCTTCTTATACCCTCGCCCCCGCCCAGCCCTGGCGCTGCTGCGGCACTTGGTGGTGTTGCGCCTCAACAACAACCGGCTAGGTGAGGAGTGCAGCTTCCTTTCCGGCCGCATGTTGGAGCGCAACCAGGACCTGGTGCGGGCGCTGGCGGCCCGGCAGCAGGCGGCAGGGCAGCCTCTGGGGGGCTACCTGCAGCTGGACCCATTTCCCAGTCTACAGGTGCGAGAGGGATAAGGGACTGCACCACGGACATGTTTGTGTGTGTGGGAAGTATAAAGCGGGCTTGCCAGCGTGTGTGTTTTGTCTTTTTATCTGTGCGTGTGTGTGTTACATGGTTGGGGGTGCGTGACCCCATACCTGTAAGACTACCCATACGAGCCGAAGGCCCAAGGGCAATACTACAACGCCTAAAAGCCACGGAGGAAAGGAAAACACCGCACATCAGCCCAGACTAGCGTCCTTTTTATCTGCCTTCCAATATCCTTTCCTGCCCACTCTCTATCGCCTGCTGCTGCTGTTGCTGCTGCTACTGCTGCAGGTGCTCCAGCTGGGCGGCAACCAGGTGTCCTCCATTTCCTCTCTGCAGCTGAGTTCGCTGACGGGGCTTCGGAGCCTGTTCCTGCAGGGTAATGACATCACCCGGATTGAGGGGCTGGACGGGCTGGTGAACCTGCAGGTGATGGGCCGGGAGGGGGGAGGAGGGATGATGCAGGGAGCTTGGAGGGAGGGAAGGAGGACGGGACAGGGCGAGCCAGGGAATGTGGAGGGGATGGGAGGCAGGGGGGCTACGGGCGGGAGCTCGGCCCAGGTGACGCAGGGGAAAGGAGGGAGGGCCAGCCAGCCAGACCCCACCTGACCTGACGCGACGTGACGTCATACATATGAGACGTAATTTCTCTCAGGTTCGAGCCAGCCACCCGCACGCGCCCACACTCCATTCCATCCTGCTCTTTTGCTACCCCTGTCCGCTGTTCCGTCTCCCGCCCCATCCTGCGTTTCTCTCTTTTCCCCTTTTTCACTCCCTTTCACCCCCTTCCACTCCCGCCATCAACAGGAGCTGGTTCTGGATCGCAACCGCATTCGCTACATCGACATGGACGCGCTCAATGGACTGCCCCGGCTGCGGGAGCTCAGACTGGAGGAGAACGGACTGCGCAGCCTGCACGGCTTCCATCCCGTGTGTAGGACCCTGCAGGTATCCGGGGGTGGGAAAGGGTGGGGGGGAGGGAAGGGGGAAAAGACGAACCACGAGCGAGTGAGGGAAAGACTGATGCGCCAGAAGTAAAGAAGGCATAACTAACCAGTCGGCGCTTGTAAAGAAGAAGTCCTCGCGAGGCAAGGGGGGAGGGAAAGGGGGAGGGGAGCTGCGGGTGGTCCTGATGGAGAGGGATACACGTGTTCGGGAAGCAGTGGAAACCAGTGAACAAGAGGATTCCGAAGAAGGAGAAGCAGCACCGAGGACAGGAGAAGTGGGATGGAGGGGTGTGAGCATGCGGGAATAAGCTAAAGGGGGCGCACATATGTGAGATGAGAGCGGGCGGTGACCAGGTGCCGGTGCTGTCCAGTCGGGCCCCAAAAAACCCCAGACTTCCCTACCCTTCCCATCCCCTATCAATCCACCCCCTATCAATCCCCACCCCTATCAATGCCCAACCCACCCACCCACCCCCTGTCACCCCGGTTCAGGCGCTCCATGTGGGTTCCAACCGCATCAGTGAGCCCGCGGACTTGGAGCGCCTCACAGCCCTGGTCGGGCTGCTGGACCTGACACTCGCAGGCAACCCCATCAGCCGGAAAAACGCCTATCGATCCATGGTCCTGGCCAAGTGCCCCAGGCTGCAAGTGCTGGACCAACAGGTTAGGGTTAGGAGCACAGCAAGGACGTTGAGGGTGTGCGGGTAGCATAACGCGGCGGAAATCGGGGATATAGATGGTAAGGAAGGACGTGCGTGGTGCCGGGCGAAAATCCGTTTAATTCATGGCCGTCTGTGTTTTGGGGAAGCTTCTCATACGTTGCAGCGGACTATCTTTAGGGGAAAGGATCCGCAGTCGCCTGTGAAATGTTACCGCCAACTGTTACTCCCTTACGGGGAGCTAGTCCCTGCTGCTATGACTGGCTGTGATCCGTTTTCCAATGCGGCTGCGGCCGCGGTTGTGGCTTTTTGGCTGCTCTGTGTGTATGTTAAATGACCCTCACCTAATAAAAAAATTGTGTGTGCGTGTGTGTGGTTGCAGATGGTGACGAATGAGGAGCGCGACTACGCGGAGCAGCTGTTCGCTCCCCAGGGTCCGGCGGGTATGCCTATGGGCATGACCATGGTGCCAACCAGCGGGGTGCCGTCCTTCATACCGCTGATGCCGGTAGGGGCCAGCCCTGGGGCCGCCACGGAGGTGATGTTGGCGGCCATGGCGGCGGCTGGTGGGCCGGGGGGCCAGGTGTCCAGCTCGGGACTAATGGCCATGGGACCTGGCAAACAGCCCATCAAGATGACCAACATCGACTTTTCAGGTGCGGGAAGAGGGATGGCGTCGCGATCGTGGATTTGGGGTTGGACTCGGGAGGCACAGGGGAAACCAAACAGATTGCTGGCGCAAACTGCAGATCCAAATACCGTATGCAGAGGTGGGGTATGGTGAGGAGGTTGTAGGGTGTTTGCATGTGGGGTGGGTTGGGGGATAAGACGAACCACTGGCGAATGGAGCATGGGTTGGGTTGGGGGCGTGGGAGTAAGGGGAAATGACAAGTGGACCCTGGCGTGGTGGTAGGAGGGCGTGGAGAAGGAAGGAATACGGGAAACTCGGCTTTCTGATTTATCACTGCTAAGTTACCAATTATTTAACCCAACCCATTTTACAGCCATCACTCTGAGCTCACCATCCGGCCCATGCAGCCAAAAACCCCACCCGTCCTTCCCGCGTCCCTCTTGTACTCCCACTGCCCCCCTCCCGTTGCGTACCCCCGGCCCAACAGGCATGACCAATTCCCCGCCGCCCAACTTTGCGGCCGCGCCACAGCCTGGGACAGCGGGCTCTGTGCCCTCCATTCAATCCAACACACTCGTACTGACGGGACCGGCGTCTTTCGGACTGGAAGGCGTGGGCATCGGGGGCTGTATGGGCTCAGCCGGCGGGCCAGGCGGCATGGGGCCAGCCGCCGTGTGGCCGGGAATGGGCAACGGGGGCCAGGTAAGAGGGGGAGTGACGCGGGGGCGGCACAATGGCAAAGTAGGCGAGCGGACAGGAGTTGTTAGGGAGTGTTTGTTACGCGACCTTGGAATGGGGCCGCTTGATGGCGAGTTGGATGTTATGGGGTTTTGTAGGGTTTGAGAGCTGAATGTGGCCTGGGTGAAATTCGGAGCAAGAAACTGATGGCGCCTGAGAGCGGCGATAGGGAAAGAAGGGGAGCCGACATGGTAACGTGGTTCGGATGGCCTAGTCGTGCACCACGCCGGCAGCGGAGTTGACTGCTTGCTCGTCAGCACAGCAAGGATGGGCTCTGCCGTGAAAGCCTTGAAAGCTGCTGGGCCGGAAAACCGCACGCGTTAAGGTGGAGGATAACGGCTCAGCCGATTATGACTTTGGCTTCGCCCCCTTGACCTGCTCGTTCGCGCACGTGCAGGTCAGCAATCGCGGTGTGGCTGGACGCAACCCAGCTGTTATCATGGCAGGCGGCACAGGTAGCAGCGCTTCGGCGCTGTCGCTGGCGGGCCGAGGTACCGGCGCCTCGCCGATGTCCGGATCCTCGCCGCTTCGCAAGGGCCCCGTGGCAGCGCCCGGCCGCAGCCCCGCTGGATACAAGTAGTTACCAGGCTGAAAGCAGCGAAGATAGCGTCTCGTGCTGTCCACCAGGCTTTAATTGCCAACTCTTTGGAAGTACCAGCTGATCCGAGCTTCTATCCGTACTTGGCATATGTTGCTTGATTCAATTCTCACATTTGGTTGCACGCTATCCGGCGTTGATCACGGGCGGCTGTAGGATGCCTAGCGGGATATAATCGCGATGCTGCAGGGGTGGGGGCTAAAACTGGCTCCCGGTTTGCGGCCGTGCTTGGACCGGTTGAGGGGCGCCGCTGCAATGGTGCAGCAACACTGTATGCACTTCTGTATGCACGGTTGAGGCACACACGTCAAGTATGTGACCGAGTTGTGCTAGCGGTCCAACATGCAGGGCGCCAGTGAAATCTCTTCATGTTGTGTTTGGCATGCCCACGCCAGTCGTTGTGCTCTGCGTCGCCAGTTACCAGGTTATAACCCAAGGAAATGCAGGGACGAGCTGTTTTATTATATAAAGGGCAGACGTGCACCGTGCAGAGTTTACAGTGTGGAAGGCAAGACCGGCACCGGTACGGACGTTTGATTTATTCGACAGCTGAAGTTATGGAACTATGTATGCCGTTCCATAGCGGCCTGTAAAAAATTTGCACGTTAGCATGTCACATGTTTAAAAGCATACATGCTGCCGATAGCATTGAACTTTACCGGTGAACATGGGAACGCAAGAAGCGCAAGGGTTTCTACAAGCCACATCAGAGAAACTAGGTATGCATGTGCCGTTATAAAAACTCAAGCATACGTTTCACGTCATATCGACAGCTTGACAGCTTCCATCTCCTGTCGTGCAGTCCATCCATTAGCTGAAGTTCGCCGCCGTGCTGTGCAAAGCCTGGACTTCAAGTTAAAGCACCGCTTGCTGGGCTTGGAAGATGTTGCGAAAGTAAGCATGGTGTTGCACGCAGATGCGGAGTCCAGTGCGCCATCGGCCCTGCAGGGTTTGCAGACCGTGTATGCGAATCCTTGGAAGCGTTCATCGGGGCACTAAATCACTACACAACACAGCGTAAGGCATAAAGCTCCATAAAATATACTTATGGGGTGCATACACAGCCTGAAAGGACAGAGCCGATAACATCTGCCTTCAAACATGGTACATAGTCCGCACAGCGTCAGGCTCATCACATGACAACCCTAGGAGCTGAACCACGCACTCACACCCATAGTCATGACGCACACCCTTGCCTTGCACAATCCACAACCGGTTTTTTTACACGCGCTTGCCTCCAAGTTTACCGCTGGTGTCCCCACATCCGATCCCCCATGCCCTCAGGATCGCACTGCCCTGAAAAGCTTACTGGGTAAGTCAAAGAAACCGTCAGCAAAACTTTTTTACGCGGCACAGTCCGTAAGACGACGATAATTAAGCAAGCACGCCGCGTTGAGCAGCCAACCAACCAGATCAGCCGTAACCCTGGCTGCTACCGACCGATCCGATCCCCGCGTCTAACACATCTACCCTCGGCGCCCTATGCTTCCATACACAACCCTCTAGGCCCGTCCACCACGCTAAGCCACGCCCGACACGCCATGCATATTCCCTCTCCCTGTATTAGCAACCTCCGCACCTCCAATGCCACTCTTTCCGTGGACCCTCCAACCGCGTTGCTTCCTCCAACAACCAATCTCTCCCCGTTATCGGAACCCGACCGCCGCTACATGGGTGGAAGGCTGCCTACAGCACCCGGACAATGGCGAGCCTACGGACGTGGTGGTGCTCATGCTGCTGGCCCAGGTCGCAGCTGACACACCCCAAGCAGCCCGGCAGCTGCTGCACCTCGGTGCGGAGCCGCTGCTCGGGCAGATGCAGGCGGGCCGCACGGGGGAGGTCCAGGCGGCTGCGCG